GAAAATGAAGCTCTACAGAACCTAAACACTGAGCTTCAGGCTTTGATTAGACGACTAGAAGAAACTGTCTTCAATTCTGATCTAAAAGACCGCAGGACTCTCCACTCCCACATACTGGACCTTGGCTTCAGCGTGGATTACTTTCAGACAAAGTCCAGAAAATTTTACCCGCAAACACACTTAGGTCTTGTATACAGGTGAAACCATGTACCCAGGGAAATGTAACATAATATTCAGTGCTGGATTTATATAACTGGACCCAGTAGATACAAAGTATAACCCTTGTAGAGCTAAACCTCAGTGCACTTCATTAAATGCAACTCTTTTATACAGAACATGCCATCTTTTTACTTGTGTTATTGTGGAGCTGAATATTTATGTTCTAGACAATTTAACGATCCCCTATTGCACATGCGTCACTTGTTATCTTTCTGCCATCCCTAAAATTACTGTATAAGCTGTTCAGTCATGTGCAACCTTTCAATAGTGTTCAGAAATTCAAACCTGAAAGTTGAGCATTATCTGGAAGGGCATTTCCACAAAGGAAGCTATTTCTGACATCCTTCTGAATACAAGTATTTAGCACAGAAGTTCTATCCTCACTGGCTGCAAGCCTGTGATTTAAACAGTATTGATGCCAGAGATTGCCAGGCAGCTAGCATTTTCAGAAGGAGGTCAACAATGGCAACCTATACTCTTCCCTCAGCATAGATTGCCTTTAAGTGGGGAATGGGCACCACTAGTGGATCTCCTTCAATGCAGGTGGGAACTTGGAAGGCTTGTGATGAAAGTGCAGAAGACTAGTAGTGTAAGTACTAGTGTACTTACAGCTGGTATTCATAATGACAATCTGTTGAGTTCTATGCTTTGTGGGAGAAAAAGCAAACTGTAGTGGTGGCAACCTCTATAGAGAAGGCAGGAGAAGGTCTTAAGATAATTTAACCTATTGGAAATAATCATCCTAAACAACTTATATCACCTCTAAAGTGTGGTACCAAACCTTTGATGGGTGTGTGAAAGATGTATGCCAGGAACCCATGGGTATATTATGCAAAGTGAACACTATAAGTAAACAGTGTCATTGTATGTCTGCTTGCCAAACCGACTATCGTCAATGGCTTTCACGTCAAAGTTGTATAGCACAAACCATGGCTAAGCGGCTCCAAGAAGCTGCAACAGCCTTAGTGCTTGTTAAGGTCAATAAACAACTGGCTGGAGGCAAATGCAGTTTCTTTTTATTTTTTGCTCCAACGTGGGGGGAAAAGGTGGAATATGCCTTTAAATAATACTACAGGACATCACAAAGGTCTTGAAAGTAGATCACAGCTAACCATTGTCACGGAAACACTGTGTGGGTATGTTCAATGTTAATATATGTTTGGATGTACAGCCATATTGTTTTTTTTAGAGATGATAATGTAATGATTTGTTGCTTTAATAGTGCACAGATTAATTTTAAAGATTGTCTTTGTAAATCTTGAAACAAATAGACCCTATGGGTAACTGTAATTTATTGTGAATTATGTAGATGAAAATAGAAAATAAAATTCAAGAGTTTAACAATCAAGACACTGAATAATAATGAAAAGATACTGTAGATGCACTGAAATAAATTTTTTCTTTCTATTTTTGGATGAAACACCTCTATCCTGCTTTCCATGCATTATAAACACTTATAAGCAATTTCTATGCTTCTTGGATCCATTTAGTGGCCATATTTCTTAGGCGTTCACAGAGCTGTTTGCTCAGAGAACGTTTTATAAATACACCCCAAAGGATTTAAAATTCAACATTAATGTCAATGTAAACAAAATAATGAGTGCTGCAAGCTTAAGGTTGTCATGCATGAAATCACTCGATTTTCCTCTCCATGCTGTTTACTGTGAATCTCCTCTATTGGCTATTGTATTCAGACAGCTGGTACCTTCTCTGCACTTTTTCTAATTCCTGAATATCCTTTTTGTGAACTGGTGCTTAGAACTTTACTGCATATTCCAGACTAGGTCTTCATAAAGCTTTGTATAGGGGCGGATCATATCTCTATCTCTAGAGTCGGTAGCTCTTATACAAGAAACTACAGTATTTTCCAAACAAACTGAACTGATAAGAGGCATGGAGGACCTCAACTATGAGGAAAGATTAAAGGCAAAATGTTTTCAGGTTATTTTAAATTCTGATGAAATCACTTACAATGGAAACTGCTTTTTGATGTTTAAAATTTTTAGTTTCCTGCAGAATCAGCTGGTCCCCTGAGCACTGGCACTGACATCATGTTTTAGGATGGCTCCTTTCCCTTCAGGGTCCTATGGAGTCAACCTTGTGTGTGCTAATAAGCTGTGTCTCCACAAACACACAGGCAAAGTAAGGCAAGACACTTCTTTGTTCCCTGTTCCACCTTCCTCTCTTCTCCAAGCTAGTAGATGGACAGTTGCTGGAGACTGCTCTCTCCCTTGTGATCTTGTACTGGACAGGAAGTTCAGGCAAGCCGAGAGAGTTGGAACTGTTTGGAAACATGATGACTCTTAAGTGCTTGAGCAAAAATGTAAAGAAATACTTTGTTGCTCATCAATGTATATTTGTTTGATCTGGATTCATCAAAGTGTGTGAGTTTAATACTACTTCAACTGAACTGAATTTCTTCTCCCCTAAGAAGGTAATTAACCACATTAGCTCTCCCACCTGTATACCTCATGGACCAGATCAGTTTTTACATTTCTGCTATGTCCCTATTTACAAGGGAACAGATTTGTCATTACTTAAAGGAGAACTATGAGGTGAGTGCTTTCCACTCACCTCATAGTTCTAGCCGACCTGTGACAATGAGACTGTCACAGGTCGGCTCAGTAGATCGGGAGGTGAGCGAACACATACTGGCGTTCGCTCACCTCTCGATCCTGTCACAGCCCTCTGCCGTGACAGGGGAGGGGCTGGATTCCCCCCTCCCCGCTCCGATCCGACAGCGCTGACTGGTGGATCGGACGGGGGAGGGGGCGGGTACAGCTGGCTCTGCCTCTAGATAGGCAGAGCCAGTTGTCACTCACGCAGCTGGGCGGATCTCGACATCGATGTCGGGGATCCGCTCCCGCGTCTCAGTATACCGCGAGCTATAGCTCGCGGTATACTGAGCTTAGGGTAACGGGAGGTCGCTAGTTTGTGTCCTCCCGTTACCCTAAGGAGAACTATGGGGAAAAGCCTTAACCCCATAGTTCTCCTTTGAAAAAAAAAAAGTTCCTTTTTTTTTTTTTTTTTATTTTATTTAAACCTGTTAGGTGGCTTTAACTGACATTGTACACAGATGGAAACTCATCCCTTTAATCTAAAGATGAATGAAACAGAGTAAATACAATGTAACTTTGTATTTCTCTATCCCGAGTCTAAACAGTGTTTATAAACACCGTGGTGAACATTTATCATTTCTGTAGCACAGGGAGGCAGTGCTTAAAGGAGAACTATGAGGTGAGTGCTTTTCACTCACCTCATAGTTCTAGCCGACCTGTGACAATGAGACTGTCACAGGTCGGCTCAGTAGATCGGGAGGTGAGCGAACACATACCGGGTTTGATCGCCTCTCGATCCTGTCACGGCTCTCTGCCGTGACAGGGGGAGGGGCTGGATTCCCCTCTCCCCGCTCCGATCTGCCAGCGCTGACTGGCAGAACGGACGGGGGAGGGGGCGGGTACAGCTGGCTCTGCCTCTAGATCGGCAGAGCCAGCTGTCACTCACGCAGCTGGGCGGATCCCGTCATCTACATCGGGATACGCTCCGGCGTCTCAGTATACCGCGAGCTGTAGCTCGCCGTATACTGAGCTTAGGGTAACGGGAGGATGCTAGTTTGTGTCCTCCCGTTACCCTAAGGAGAACTATGGGGAAAAACACTGACCCCATAGTTCTCCTTTAACTGGAGCAGTGACAAGGATCATGCAACAGACTTATTACAAGGTAACCGCTTGAGGAATAAATTCCTCCTTTGGCTGCTCTATAGTTGGACTGGGATTGAATTAATACATGAAACAGAGTTGCTGGACCTGAATGGGACGGATGGGAGGTAAAGAGATAAATGTGCACTAACATTCGACTTCCCAGAAGTCCTAACATGGGTTCAATAAGGGGGGGGGGAAAAAAAAACTTAACAAACATGGATGTCACAATGGGAACATCCATTCCATACTGCTCTGATTAGCAAGGAATCTGTTCATAGATCCCCTGCTGATTGGAATGGACAGTTTATGCACTAACTATGTTGCTAATTTGCTTGAGAAATGTCCCTCTGTGTCTAAAAGTCTGCTTTTTGACAGCAGCAGCGGCTGTAATAGTTGCTGTGTTTATACAGCACAGGTGTCATTCTGACAGCCAGGAGTTTACCGAAAATAGGAGGGGAGAGCAGCAGCACGGTAGAAGGATATGGTGTACTACACATGCCCTGAAGTTTTTTGGGCTGTGTGAGGCATGCATGGTCCAATGTCCACAACTGCTAAAGATGGCACATGATACATAAATGGTCCATATAATGAAAATGGTCACACGTGCAGAGTCTGGCCTGGGAATACGTATTACACGGGATAATTAATGTATTACTACACTGGAGCTGAAGAGATAAGATTGACATGAATTAATGAGACGAGGACCCAAGAAAAGTAGCTATAAAATAAATCTGAGTGATTGCTCTGTTTGTGTTGTGGAGTTTGGAAATCAGTCCTATTATCTCTGATGGATTTTTATTTCGGGACTAACTGGGCCCTAAAACTTGTCTTAGCCCCAGAGTC